AATAAGGTAAAAAAATTTTACTAAACCGCTACACTTCAATGTTGATAAATTCAAACAGCTGGCCAATAAAACAACTGGTTAGATTTCCTAGAACAGAAACCTCTGCCTTACTTGCAGCAACGATTGCAGCCGGATTCAGTGCGTAACAAAGGAGGCACTAGTTGTTTGGAAACTCAAAGGAAACTAATGGGTCTGCAGTAAAAGGACATGTTTTTAGTTGTTTGTTCGTGTTAACCTTTTGTTTATTAATGAATCACCATTAGCGTTGAGTTTCAAACAGGCACATGTCACATGGCACAAGTGGTGTCAATATCGCCCTCTCATGCATTTAACCTAGTCCAGATCAAAATTCCTTATTGCCTTGTATTTTAGAGAAGAAACTTAAAACCCCATTATAAATTGCAATTTGGTTAGAGTGAATATTTAAGGTTAAGTTTCTTCTACTTCGTGGTATTATTCGGGAAATCTTAATATTTCCAGCAGTCTACGACATAGCCGTGGAGGTCTCCTAGACGGTTATAGACATTCAAGACAGGAATTAGGACATCAACGACACATTAAAGGAGTTAAAACAAATTACATTTAGCACAGAACTACATCGTTTAATCGATTTTACCCAAATCGAAGAACAATGTATCTTGAAAGCTGCGATAATATGGTTTGCATCTTTGCTAGAAAACATTTTTTTGAGTAGATGACGTGCGTTCTGTCACCAAGATTGTGCTTTGATCAAACACAAGCTTGTCTGAGAGTGTTTTTGTAACTTTTATGGTGTTCGGCAGCATAGTGCAATATGGGTGACATTTCATGTATATTGATAGGAAAATTAAGCAAAACCACGTGTCGGGAATTTAGGAAAGTTTTGTAATGGGAGTTATGTACATTAGTGCAGAATATCTCGCACAATGAAAGCAAACAAACTGAATGAGGCATTTCAAGCAGTTTGCAGCCCAAATTTAAATTCTTCGGGTTTATGGAAGCTATTATAAGGCAACTTTTGAATTGAGAAATGCCAACTTAGTGTTTTGATCGGCCTATCAAAACTGACGCTTTGGCAACGCCAAAAAATCTATCGAATTCAAACAAAAATAGGGCACGTTGTGTATAGGTTAGTGCTACTTTTCTGGTTCTTGCATGGGCATACAATCAACAGAAGTCACATTCTTCACTCCACGTAGTTAAAATAGGCTCTAGATACCGTCGATTATGCGGTAGAAATCTCCGAAGACGACAATTTGATGTGTGAGAAATTCAATTTCAGTGTGGGTTTGGAGCTCAGAAAACACAGGAAATTGTTTAAATTATAGTGAACTGCCGATGAACGCGCTTGAGTAAGGCCTGGTCACGAGTTAATCTGGTGCCTTGGACAATTGATTGCAGTTGACAACCGGTCATCACACACACAATAGAACACTTTGCCAGCCTGATCGCAACAGCCAGTCGTATTCGCTGTCGCCTGTCCTTTCTCGGTCATTGGATGATTAGTGCCTTTTGCATAGCTAGACTTCAAGGTAGTGTAAGCAAATTGCCACAACACACTTTTTTCAGATTTTACTTAACGCTGCATCGATATACGGACAAATAAAGTGTTTATCTTTTAGCTAACCATAGTAAATTCAATTTATACTAGTTTACATATGAGATATTAGGCTTTCGCTAAAATAAAGGTACTCAAGAGCAATGTACTTGAGTCCCATTATTAAACCGTCTAAGCATACCTTTTTTGCCAGCACTTATTGTTCTCCTAAATAGTCTACTTTAAATTTATTTCAAAAATGATGATGTTATAATCCTTGCAGCGCCTTTCAGCAAATGGTTAACATCTAAAAAACACGTTCACAAATCTGCGTCGTGTTCCACAGACTTTCGTTGATTATTTAGTAAAAAAAAATTAAAAAAAATTCGAAAAGATAAATGGTGAACGATCACCTATAGTCTTAAAATTTAACTCTTTTTTAAATTTTGCAATGTCTATGACTGTAAATTTAGATGATGCATGTTAATTAAAACAACGTGAGGTTATAAGTGTACGATTCAAACAGCTACAGTACTGTTCAAAATATGGTAAAATCAGTACGATTTTAAATAATTCTTCCTTTTTATAATCAATTGGATATGCGAAATTGCCATGAATTACTTCGGGTATGATTTATGCGCACTTCGAACGTTTGTTGATTCTCGGTACTGATTGAATCAAGTTAGTGTTTTGGTGAAAAAACTTATAAAAGGTTTTCCAGTGTTGTTATATGACTGTGTTCTTTTAATGTGCTTTTTTGTAATTATAAAAAAACTGTTCATAGTTCCGCAGTACTTGAGTGGATTTTCCTTCATTACATAAATGCATTAGTTAGCGATGACACTCACGCAATTTTTTTAATTGTGACTCAATTTCATTCTTGCACTATTTTTAATTTAAGGCTGCTTAAGTTTGATTTCCAGGGCTGCATTTTTATTATAACTTTTGTAAACCTTAAACTTATCTAGAACTGAATTATCAAATTAAGTTCTAAAATTACAAGATGTCATAAATTGTGTGCACACTCTAACATGCCCTTTATGAACAACATAGTTTTTTATCCAATGACTAGCAAGAACTGAAGTTACTGAATACCACCAAAAATTCTGATTTTGTTCAGATTTGACGAATCACAAGTGTGCTTTGAGATGCAGTTATCATTTCGTTGCAATTTGCGAGTGGTAATTGGGACTAATGGTGCTTCACGCCGGTGAAGTGATGTAGAAATGTCCGAATTTCAGCAATCACTTATTTTCGGCCAATGGAGTTCAGAGTAACACATTCATCAAAGTAATTGATTAACATTCCACTGCTTGAGCCATCTTGCCTATTATGTACCTAATTCACTTCATGAACCAATGAGAAGTCTGTACCTGAATTAAATTTGTTTTAGATTCCATTTGCAATAGATTGGATGCGATGATATTTGACATTGATTTGTTACCAGGATAAAACAATCTTCTAGTAAGACAACTTATCACATACAGAAGGCTGCATCACTATATCACTAAATATATCTACCATTGGAAAGCTTTGCGCCATTGAGTGTAGTGGCAGGAGCAGTTTTGGTGGCAATTAAATAAAATGATTGTAGCCAAAATACCCACAAATCTGCACCCTCCTTCTAGCGCAAAAATAAAAAATAAGTTATCTGCTTTCACGTTCTTGATTACTACGTGGTAACCTAGATCGCTACCTTGATATAGGTTTAAAAATAAAAGGATCTCTCATAGTGTTCAAACAGACTAGATAAAATTTTATCGTGAATATTGAAAAATTTCCCAACCTAAAAGAAATATGTCGAAAATCACCGACTGAATAAGTACAACTACGAATTCCCAATTAAAAAAAAATCACCTCTATATCTACACCTAACTTGACTTTTTATTGACAAATGTTTTCTAAGAAATCGTTATGGACTGAAGCAACATTTTCTTGCCAATTAAATTCAAAAAGTGAAGGAGACAAAATTTGAGGCTATTACGCTTGTGTTTTAAGTACATTTTTATCTTAAGATACGTATGACTGTCATTTTACATTTTGTCGTAGATATATAATATGTGCATTCAAAAGTTGCAGGGGATACGTTTAGGTGCACCGATGTCAAAGGTCAAAATTATTTAACAATAAAATTGCACTAAAGTCATAGTTGCTCAACTATATCTTCACTATCTATTAATCTCAGAAATTTTTGTTTGCGGAAAACATGATAAAATTTTACATATATGCAGTCTATCTTTTAAAAATGTCAAATTCATATTACAAAAATGTTTTTGTTTATCCGTTTAGATGTATTAGCAGATAGCTGTAACCTTGAAGCAAGACGCATTTTAAAGTCACTCTAAGGTCTGTTTGGTGAAATGCCACAAAAGAAATTTCTTTACGTACGTGTCTATAAAAGCAGGTAAGATATATAAAAATCATCTTTTATGTACTAACCACTTCTGCTTTGTGTGCTGTCCTATATTTCAGTTTGCCAAGTCAATCAAATTTCGCTGTTCCAACTTCCAATTGTTTAGTATTATTTTATTTTTTTGTAGTTCCGCGTCTTCGTGTTTGCTCATCGCTGTTCACAGTATTTATCACCACTAATTCTAAATGGCGTCTGACGTTCCGCTGATTTTGGGAATTGATCTTGGCACTTCAAGCCTTAAAGTCGCTCTCATTACTCATGATTCTGAAACTCGTATTGAAGCCTCAATGTCTAAAGAAATCGCGTCAAATTCAGGACATGGTTTGAATAATTTCAGCCATCTTTGTATGCCTAATGAGCACGTTCAAGACGTTGGGAAGATATTTCAATGCCTTCATATTCTTCTCTCTTCCATATCCCCCTTGTTAATGGCACGAGTAACTGCAATATCTGTAACCGGACAGATGCATGGTGTTATGGGATGGCTTAGTGAAAATCTGGCGTTTTCGGAAAAATCTAAGATAGAGAAGAAAAAGCTTGACGTTAACTTGGCTGGCGGTGGCTGTGGAAACTTAATAACATGGATTGACCGACGATGCACCAAGGAATTTATTGATTCTCTTCCAACTTCCACACGAAGTGAAAAGCCATGTTCTGGTAAGAATGTTATCTGTTGAACAATTGTTTGGTGTTAGTAAGCACACTATTGATCTGTGTCAACGGCAACAAAACATATTTACATCACAATTCATGACTAATATCACTAGGGTAGTATATTTTGTGCCAATAGTTGCTTCATGTTTAAGACTGCGTGATTGGAGCTGTAGCTGGGGTCAAAACCTTCCCAAGTTACAAAACATGTAGTTTCAATGGCACAAAGTAAGAAAGTTAACCTACGTATGTTCAACATACTTTATTTTTTTTGTTCAAATACGATTCGTAGATGGAAGAGGCAGCAGAGTTGAGTTTGCAGAAATTTATGCATAATTTCTGTCACATAACTATGTTTTATAAGCTATTGATGAGGCCAGTGCCGTTTTAGGCTTTGGTTGTGCGTCTATTCTATGGCAAATGAAGAATCAGCCAGGTGAGTTTGCCGCAACACCTCTTGCTCCCAATGAACAGCGCGATCTTTTTGAAAAAGCTGCTATCTTGAGAAAAACATCAGTTGGCCAGCCATCGCAACGCTTAATAGGTATTGCCTCAATTGACCCAGTATGCGGGCTTAAAGAACTGGCCAAGCCAAGGTCAATTTCTCAAAGCCTCTTTCCTCCGTTGTCCAGACCAGTACAACATGCCCCATGGACATGTGTCGGAACCATAGCAGATTTCCTCGTGGCTGGTCTTTCATCCCTACAAAGACCTGTTATGTCTCCTCAGATGGCCATGTCTTGGGGCTACTTCGATCTTGAACTCAACACATGGGATTTTCCTGCGTAAGTCACTTTTAGCACATGTTGTTATACACATGAACGTCTTCTTGCGCCTCATCATTGCTTCATATTGCTTTTAACTTTTTTGCATTCCACTAAAGTTGGCCCCAATAGTTTTAGGACAAGTGGAACTAAGAAGACATAAATTCCCCTAATTGCGGTGTTGTGAATGAACAAATCATTTTCCCATGTGCTAATTTTTATATTTGTATTAGCGACATTTTAAGTTGAACCTTTATTCCTCTGTGTCAAATAGTCAACCAATTCAGAAATACCAGTGAACACCGAATCCTCAGGTATTCAGAAATGGACACTTCATAAGCTAATCGTCTAGGGTTCTTCTTATATAGTGAAACAACGAACCAGGTTGTTTTTTAAATGCAAATTAACTTCACCAGACCACATTTCTTGTAAACAAGTATGATGCACGTTATTTCACGTTATTAGGATGCAAACAGGAATCCTCTGCAAAGGGTAATGTTGTATTAAATAAATCCTAATGGTGTCTGAATTAGGTAAAATTAAGATAATTAGGTAACTTTTTAAAATAGTGCACCATTTAAGCCATATTAAATGCATAGTTTGACCTCTAGTCGTGATTATTTGCCTAATAAGTTACTGGCCTCTTTTACATTTCGTTGTTTGGTTGCACGATCGCAGAAGGTTCACTGCGTCCTCCATATAAAGCATCCGAATAATATGCCTTCCAGTAAAGCTATTGTGTCATTCGACTTGTGTCTTAACGAATAATTGTGTGTTCCTCACATAAACTCAAATAAACAAATTAAATTCATAAGTCAAGGAATTACAACAGAAGCACGCATCAATGTTTAGTTTAATCAGAACGTCAGACACGTTTTAAGTTGATTAAAAACGTTTCCGTATGCAAGGTTCTGAGACTACTTTTGGCTGAAGCATTAGGCTAATTGGCAAGCACCAACTGGTCAAATTCGCCTGAGATCCTGGCTGGCTCTAGTTTCTCAATTGATAAAAGTGTCCTCTAGCAGAATAATGTGACCATGAGGAAATCAATTAGTCGATAACTCTAGAATCACCCTCACAGTCCCCGTACATCAAACAGGATACCATTGCTACTCCTCGCTAGACTTAGAGTTCATACAGTAGTTAAGAAATTACGAAGTTGTAGGACCTTGGCATTGCGTCGTAGGTATCCAAAAATTCGTAATGGATAAATGTAAAACGGTTTAATTCATCTCCCTATTTCAATGACTCAAGTTGGTCGGTAGTATTCAGTTTGGTCTCGCGAAATGATTCAGGAAATGCAAATGGACATTCCAGGACATTTCAGCTAATTTTCCCACGGCCTACATCCGTCTAGCGACGGGGATTTTGACTGCCAATGTTTACTTTCGGCGCAACACCATGGGTGGGTGTGGTCCACACAGCTGGTGTTCCTGTAATGTGCTCGTTTTGACTAAACAACATAACAGCTGACTCTCGCGCTCCATTCAGTGTTTATGATGCGCCATGTTAGCAGTGGCAGCAGGGGTGTATATTTTGCCATTATCTCACACCGCAGGCTCAATGCTACTGGCTACTCGTTGTCGCATCTGCTACCAGAGGTGGTGCCTTGCGGTACGGTTGTTGGAAAACTGTCCTTTGACTGGGAAGGCATTCCTGCCGGCGCCGACGTCTTTGTAGCCCTTGGAGACCTCCAATGTTCTGTCTACCCCTTTCTTGAACGCCACGGCAAAAATACAGACGTCGAAGGAGGCGTAGCAGGTAAGAATATTTAAAACGACTGGCGGCTGTTAGTTTAGTGCCAAGTTGATGAACACCGCAAATAAAAGCAGGCTTAAGGTTACTTGATTAATTTTTTTAAATTACAATTGAACACGATTGGAATGTGAGATTGAATTCCCTTCAAATCTAATCTTATTACCGCTTTGTTGACATCCGTGTCCTGCTACCATTCATTGCAATAAATCGCTTAACTGCTCCGTCCTAGCCATGCGATTATCACCATCCGTTTCTTGTTAAACACCTCCGCTATGTTGTTTGCGTAAAGGTGATCCACAAGTCAGTTGTGTGTGACTAACCTGAAACCAATGTTCTATCTCCATTTATTGTAAATAATTCATATTTTGGGGGCTCCGACGAATGCCAAGTTATTAGCATCTGTAACTTGAAAATGGTTTGCCTGCATCCAGGGTGTGTCAATATGTTCATAGAAAACAAGTGGAAAAAAAGGACTTAGCTGTTATTCAAGACAACTGTTTGACAGGTTTTATGAAGAATATTGGGAAACAAAACGAAAGCTTTGAGTTATTCACTAGACTTGATTTTATCTAGGGCAATTTCAAAGTTATCATGACCAGAATAAACTGATTGTATAGGTAAACCCATGTCATTGGGTACGTGGAGCTCCTTTGAATAACAGATTTACTGAGTAATAAAATCAACTTATTTGAGGTTTAATGAGAAGCAATAAAACAGGCTTTTATCCTTAAGTCTTCTCCGCGAATTTCATTTTTCTTGGGCTGGTTACTTTAGAAATCGTAAATGGATCCAATCAGCCCTTCCTTATTCAAACAACGACTTAACTCTCAACCTGTAAATAAGTTTTGTTTTGTTCTCCAAAAATAATCCTAAATTATTTGACTTTAAAGAAAATTTTATACTTGTTGGTAGTGCATACAAACAATAGCAATATACAGTTCCACCACGTTAATTTTTGTCGGTAGCTAATGTCAAGTAGCCGTCACTTTCAAGTCGTCGTTGAAAAGCAGTAAGCCAATCTGGCGTTGAAGCGAAATAAGCAAAAGTCCCTAAAAGTCCAAATGCTATAAAAATTGCACTTTTGACGCAATTTTGTACAGGTTCAAGATTGTTTATAAACCAAAGTTCTCGTAATTCACGTAATTTTTCAGAAACTAGCTGAAAGCAACATCCCAATCTACTCAAGAGGCCTAAATTTCCATTCATTCAACTGATGGAAAGAGAAACGCGCTTCAACTTATTTAATAAATTTTTTTTTTTTAGAAAACAGAAAGGCTGTGGGTTTTGATTTAACATGATTCATTCATTTTCTAATCTTGGTACTCTGAAATCATTATTGTTAATTCTACTTGTGCTATTTTACGTGTGAGGTGATTTTAATTTCGCTTTCCTTTCGGTCGCATTTAAATTTCCTATTACACACACACAGCACTGTAAAAATTTGCTTCGAGGATAGCGACATTTGTCTTTCAAATGTGGTAACATAAGTAGGTAATTTCTACACTCCAAAATACATCAATCCAAACATCTACTTTCCTTGTTATCAATATTCCGATGCAAAAACCGTTAAAACCTTTGTTGGAAAATTTGCTTAAACTGGAGTTAGCCATCTGTGCAACCTGTTGAGTATTTCTAGCAGACTTGTGGCTATTAATTTAAACCTAATTTTTTTCAAAGTCAATCATTAATGAAAGGTTAACAAAGCTCCCTTTTGCTCACAAATTCTGTCCACAATTCACGCAGCTAATTTCCAATTCTTTAGTTTTATCAGGAATGTCCAAAGATGTCCTTCTCTCTTCCCTTTCCCTGTAATTTTTTTCATGGTAACTAAGTAACAAATCAGACCAGTGGAGCTTCATAGCACTTGTCATTGAAGCCATTTTTGGGTCACATGAGCGAATTTAAAATTTATTATTCATTTTTACTCATAATTTTCTTGTAAAAATTTTCTCTTACGTACTTTGTTTCATCTTTTTAGCTTCTCTTGTGCATAGAAAAGTGGTTCAATGTCATTTTGACGTGCAAAAGTGGTAAAAAAGGCAAAATAGACCACATTTTCATAATTTTTTGACCAGTTTGTTGTTACCTTTGCCGCAATTTTGACCTCCAAATTTGGTGACTAACTTCACCTCACCTCTCTAATTACAGATTAATTAAAAAATCAAAAAGAAGTTTGCTTTTTGTCTAGTTAAAAATTGCACACAGAATACATTTGTCTTTTTCTAGGCCGCAAATTCATTTGCAGTAACCAAACAGGGTAGTTTTTAATCCAACTCTAGTCGCTGTTCAATCGCAGGCAGCATGCTAAACATTTTTTTTAACGACAAAAAATAATTTGACTTAAACAGTTGAGGTAGACATCCAAACCATCATAATTGCCACTTTCACAATTTAGACAACATAGTATTAACCTCTCTAATCAGATTAACCATTTTCGGTTAACACGGTACTTTTTTCATTAAGACGTTTCACAGAGGCTTACAGCGCCGTACTTATTCTTTAGGTAAAAAAAAACTAAAAAAACGTTCTTTTTTGTTCCAACCCTTCTGTGAAGGTAATTTTTTTGAGGCGTCACATGTGTTCATAACTATTAATCATGATGCAGTTCCTGTTTTTTTAAAGATTTGAAAATTCTTTTCCAATTTTTGAATTATTTCATCTTCCTTCAGAACCTGACCGGTTCTTTGCGAATCCATTAATGCAACGCTGTTGTATAATCAAGCGTCAAGCGCTCTCGGTGCAGTTTTAACTCCGATAGCTAATTTTATCACAACCATTTGAAATTTGCTGTTTTTAAAACGTGCAGTTGTTAGCCATTTTTTGTATGATATGCTCCTATTTTGAACTCTTTTGTATTAGGTAAAAGCCAACGATTATTATGGAGAAGTATTTATTTTCTAAAGTAGATTTCATTCCTTAATGAAAAACGAAATTCGAAATTGCAAATAATTTGTTAGCGTTTTGTCACATGGCAGCTAATCACTGTGTAGAAATGCCCAAAATAACAACCAAATTTTGTGGTGCGTTAAATTTTAATTTAGTTTGCATGAACCAAATTTTTGTTAATTAAGAAAGGTGTCAATCATTTTGAAAAATACTCATCTCTGTCTCCCCTTCTCTTCAGGACGTTTGACCCACAAAAGTTCAAACTTATGTCAACAAAGTTGAGAGGCACATTATTTTTCTAAGGCAACTTTTTACGCCTAATTATGTATTAGCTCCCCTTCTGGTTGCACGCGGTCTATCCAAAGGTGACAAGGATGTGCTTCATTTGAGCTCAAATCAAGTGACGCAACTTTTGTCATTCACAGCTTGCAACCTCAGCACATCGGCCCAGATCGCATTCAAAATTCCCTCTTCCCTGGCTTCCAATCCTTCGCCAACACCTTCGCCTTTCCACACCCTCAGTGAAAACAGCGAAAGTGTTTTTGAGCGCCTACTGAAGAGCAAACGAATCGCCGTGTGGCCATTTTTCAAACCGGACGATCGAATCGTCGTGGCGGCGAGTCTCAACGGCGGCAATGTGGTTGAGAGGTTTGTCAAAATGCTGCGTGTCTGGTGCCACCAACTGGGCTGCCCCGCCATCGAGTCTACACAGGTTAGTTGCAGTGTTTTTTTACACGCGTGCACTGATTTCCGTTGCTATGACAGGAGTGAGGTTGGGCGTACGATTTCCCCGCCTAATTTGAGCAAGGTTTACAAGACTAGGAAGTCAATTCCTCGAGTTCTTGTGTAGAGAGCCTTGTGAATGGAAAGTTCACACCGTTAATGTTCTAGTGCCAACAGAAAACACTTCCATGTTTATCTTAAATGAAACGTACCCGAATAATCGCTAAATATAAATTGTTGAGCCGATTTATCATTTTTTACAGCGTGCGCATTTGAATCAACACTTCCCACACCCTCCCCCCACTGAGTTAAACGGATTTAAAGTACATTTGTTCATCAAAAGCACTTTTCATGTCATCGACAACGCAGTAATTCTGGAGAGTTATTTGTTTTTCTGCCTGGAACAGTCGTTTGTGACTGGAGTAAGCGATTGCCCTGACGGCAGTTGATGAGAATGGCTTCATTGCAAAACCAGAACTGAGGATGCTGCGATAATTCAGAAATAAATACAGTTGTGTTAAGGAATAAAGGATTTGAAGTCTTGTAGTTAGTCTTCGGCTCTCACGATCACTGGGTAGTGGTTAATTGAATCGGACTGTTTGCATACACATTTAGCCATTTAATTTGAATCTGTTAAAACAATACTGTTTAAACTATTTTCTCTCTTGAGATGAATTTTTTTTGGAAGCTAGCTTTGTGATTAATAACAAAGTGGCTAAGCCCAAGTGGTTGGATGTGATTAATAAGGGATTAGTAATGGTGATTTTGTATTGGTTGGAACAAATGTTTGAAGTGTTACCGGGTAAAAAGATGGCTACTACCGTGTTGATCTATTAAATATATTGGAGTGGTAAATTTCTATATTAATAGACTTTTGATTATTGAAACGAGAGTTCCAGGAAACATGCGAAGCAGGTATGGATGCTAAATCATTCTAGACACCTCTTACAACCAAGGTCTTAGTTCCGTTTCTTCGTCTCATTCGCCTTTGACCTTTGAAAAGGGCACTTTTGGGTTGATGTGAGTGTTATCTCTGCTAGAAATATCTTAAATTTTAAATAAGGGAAGCCGTGATAGAAATTACATCCTCCGCTCCTACTTTGTAAGTCTTATAAAGGTAAATAGAACCATTATAACGATTTCTCCCAAATCTTGACGTAAGTCGATTAACAGCGAAATCAATCGGCCCATTTATGTGCATCATTCCAGTGACAATTCTCAACAAAGATTTGTACTGGCTCATATAGTAAACTGCTTGGCATTGAAACTTCAAGTACATTGAGCAACATAGTCGGCTTAATAATGGACTTAATAATGTATGACCCGAAAGGCAATAAACTTTACCGTTTGAACTGTGAATATTTTATGGCCCGGTCACTTGTGACACCTTGTCGTGCATCGTTTGCCTGAGGCGTCTTGGCAGAAGGTCGTCCAAATAGGTTTGTAATAAATTAATTAGCATTTATCACACTTCAATAGCATTAGTGACTGTTCATACGCCCAAGCACACTCACAAAATGGCATATCATGTTTAGCGAACAAGAATAGTTACCGCCCACCTCTTTCTGAGGCTTTTTCGTCGCCTTTAGTTACAGTTACAATGGGCTTTAACGAAGATTAGGGCTGTAACGTATCCCGCTAGCTGCTACAGATGAAAGTGATACCTCCAATGGTGTGGTTTAGTACTTCTTGTTTCCGCTAAATGATACATTGCCTTTCCTCGTGACCGTCTAACGGTGTTGCACGAAAAATCCCACTACAGACGCAAACACTCAAGTTGGACTGTTGTTCTCTGCGGACAAATATTAGAGTTCGTTTCGATTGCTGGACAGTAAAGTGATAATTTGACGGTGTACGACTTGGCAGTCAACTGTAGCTTGAAAGCCAAGTTGCTTACATGCATTATACCTCTGTGCGGTGTTACAGAAGCCTTTAGTCTGACTGACTTGCTGTTTTGGAGAAAGGGAGCGTACTTTTAATTACCATGTACAAATCCCCGCATTGTGAACAAAGTGTCTCTTGATGTGGTTAATCTAAGTAGGAGAAAAGGAGAATAATGTTACTTTTGATTGATTGAACCTGTAGGCAATCTGCAACGTGAACGGAAATTAAGACTCCTTCTTTCTTGATAATACCTTGCAAATTATCGAGTGTCGTTGTAATCACAAGTCTCATTGTAATCGGAGTTTACGACAGTATGTCATGTTAATTGTCTGTTTGTCCTCCGACTTGCTTTTTTTAACCGCAATGTTCTGTTTACTAAGTGCGTTCCGCTGTTTAGTTGTTACAGTGCAATCGCGCTGAGTTTAAAAGCTGACCAGTCGGAATTTTTTTATTGTTTAAATAAATATAAAGATCAAAATTTCCATTTTTTGCAGCAGGTTTGATCCCTCAAGTTTTCTCAAGGCAGGTTTTGCGAATATTACTAATTTACAGGCTGAAGAATAAGCATAAGTTTTGCCACGCTATATTGAGGCATAACTTGCAACTCGGAGCGTTATTATTTATTCTTGACTATTAAATTGGTTTTTTATTCACATATCCCGTAGGCAGGCAGAGGAATAGCCGATGCAGTACCTATTCTTTCACACTGCTGCGAGCTGGCTAAGTACTCTATTGCTTTTTGTCACGCTATAGCTTGGGAGAAACTCCAAAAAAAAAGATTTTTTGCCTCATTCAGTACTTTTCTTACCACCATATGATTTCAACGGTCGCGAATAAAGAAACGATCGCACGTTTAAGCAACTTTTCTTGTCGATTCAGGTCGTATCTCTGAAGACATGGTCTCTATCTTGGTTTCTATGCCACATTTTTATCTGGCACTTAAACGTGGCAGTTAGTTGAGATTTGAACCACTACAAACACCCACCATATTTCCATTTCTACGCCAAGGCAATCATTGGACTGAAAATGGATCAAGGCAATAAGCGAATTTATTTTTCCTTGTCACATTCAATCGCTTATTGAGACGTGCTAACGTGTTCGCCACGTAATAGATTATGCCGCTGCACCGTAAACTAGAACTTTAATCACTGACACATTATTTTAATCTGTATTAAACTTTTAATAAATGCGCATGATGCCAGTAAATACTTCACAAATAGTTACACCGCGAATATTTGGCGCTGCAGACTTCAAAACGTTTCAATGCAAAGTAAGTTGATAAACGCGATTTGGACACAAAAACTGTCTGTTCACATCTTACGAGTGACTTCATGTCAGGGTTAATGTAAAATACGTTTTAACGAAGCAATTTATTAATAATTCGTTTTGTTCCTGACACCTCACGACACTCAGTTGCCAGTTTTGAAACGGTAAACGCCCCTTCATTAGCACAGTTACTGAAACATTCGTTCCAAAATACACCGCAAATCAAAACAGCTGGGCTTTGCTATTTGGAGTTATGTACTAACTACAAACAAGCACATACTTAGAAGTTCTGTATTTATACTTATGGAAAAGTGATCCGTGTTTTGTTTATATTTTTGAATACTTAGGGCGGTCATTTAACTGAACCTAATCGATTGTGTGCAATTCAATGCCCGCTATTACGGTTTATGCTGAAATAAATCAATTTTCACACGCTAACCAATGATGCACAAGCACCTCACACGAATTTTAGCCAATAATTTATATAGAATCATGTGACTCGCAACCATTACTAACTGGTGGTTTGATGTGAATGCATTTGCATTTTGCATTTGAACGGGCAGTTCTTTGCGTTTTTGTGGTGTGAAGCAGAAACAAACGGAAGACTATTAATTTGTACGTACAAATTACAATGCCGCTTTTTTAAATGTTGAGCAGCGTTCGAGACCCAAAAACAATGATTCCTTAGAAAAAATAACGCGTTCGTTTTATCAACAAGTGTTTGAGTTATCAAACACAAACAAATGCATAAAAACTGAGTTGATAAACACCCTTTTTTACTTTTGGTAGCATTTAGGTAAAGGTTTTCGTGATTAGGCGCCAACTATATGGGTAGTTTTTATTGTGTCATGTTTCTAAATTTCGGTAGAGATGCACATAGACCCGGTCTAAACGCAGTCTGGCTTCATACTTCCGACTTGACCTCCATGATTGGCGCATTCAGAACTAAAATGTCTTATGGAAAAAATAGGCTTAACTTAGACAAAGTCTTGCGCGATTTAAAATGCCGACTTTACTTGTTATAGGTGAAATACGTGTTCGTTTTAATTCCCCGTCAAAGCCATAATTATGTCAGCCAGAGATTAATATTATATCTTCGCTGTTCGTTTAAATAAATTACGCTACCTCTATGTACCACCGTTTTACGACATTAACATGCACCAAGCAAATGCTTAAGCAATTTTATTTTACAATATATAATTGTCATTTAAATATTTGTTTGTAGGTTAACTGTCTCCAAAATGAATACTGCTTAAAAGCTTTCATTAATTCTTGAAACTGGTCGATAAATTCAATTCAATTTGAAACGTTAAACGAGAAATCATTAACAGTTGTGTTATTTCCTTCTACAAATTATGTAGCAGACCTTTGTATAATTCTCAGTCCCTCAGAATCGATTTTTTTGTTTTTTTTTAATTATTAATTGCTTTATGTTTGCTATAAAGTCATTTGATTTACTACGTTTCACAACCCTGAACAACGATATTGGAGTACCTTGGTGATCAAGCATTCCCAGTTATCTGCTTCTGTCAACCAAGGCTGTTTTCAGTAGTGCTTCCCTACAATCCTAACACAAAGCTTATGACCTTGCGATCTGTGGCCGATGCAATCCATTAATGTTTTGTCCGAACATCAGCTCTCAAGCAAAGTTTGAATCGAGGTTCACTTGTACGCCTTATCCATCAATTTTGTTTCGTCTCGTTTGCTCGGCCGTGTCATGTCCACCAATCTTGTCATATTAAAGAAATCCAGCAATATTGCTTTTTCTCTCATATCCCTATGATTCCCTTTGTGGGTTCACTCCAAAAAATCTCTGGTACTCTACCTACATTTTTTTGGATTAAATGTAGCCCAGGGCTTAAGAAATGGTAGTGTTTCGGCCACCAGATTAGCCATTGAATTACCAAAATTCAGTAGATATGTCTGCAGTGCAGTGTGTTACTTTTTGACGGCCACGTTACCTCGCAGTTTAAGAGTTTCCCTATTTTAATACATTCTCTTGTAATCCCACAAATTTTACTAATCAAAAATGGCTACTTTCCCACCTGAAAATAATATTTCCTGTGACTATTATTTGGAAATTTTGCCAGCGATAAAATATTGGCATCTGGGCAATATTCAGATGAATTTGTACTTTGTCAACCAATCAGATAACTTTCATTTTGAGTATTTTTCAAAATTCGTGTATTTGTTTGGCTTCTTGGCTTTTGCGTTCGACCGCTACTTTACTTCAGTTTATAGTTGTCATTTGCATGCATTGAATAAACATTTTTGGTATGCTCAAATGCATTCTTTGAAGTCCCAAATGTGCGATGAAAATGCGGCGGCATTGTTGTGGCTGCCATCGTCTATCCAGAGATTGATGTTTCTTGATTAAATTGCCAACCACCGCGGATACTTTATGTACTCGTTGTGCGAATTTCCGCAAGTGAAATTTGTAAAAACAAGTCATGTAAATGAATAGTGCAGCTGACGCCTTGACGCTTGACGTTGCTATAGTAACTGGTCTGCACTTACAGCACTTAGTTTACGATTTCTCGTTTACTTTTACCGTGGGGCTGTCGTATGAACTGTCTCCGTCAGAATTTCACGCCACTCAAATCTGTAGTGAATCGTGTTGATTCACGTCCAATAACCCTGTCCTCGCAGCTTCCAGCACACGTCCCTCCTTTTCACGTGAGACCGCTGGTTCATTACCCCTCTGAATGTACCACCACCTCCCGCTTTGGCCATGTGACCTCACAAACGCCTGTGTTCATTTTTACATGTCCACTCAACTGTAAAAGTACACGACACAACTTGGTTGAGCGGTCTAGTAAACGGTTGTGCCTTCCCCACTCCGGTCTTCTATATTTTCGCGGGAACGCAAGGTAACGTATTCGGCCTAGATATTCGCAGTGGCCCCGGCGTGGTTCAAGACAACATGCCGGGGCCCTCAACAAATCTTTGACCTTGGTGTGAGCCTACGATATGTACAAACGTGTTTCTTATTTTGCTATTCTGTGTAAGTATACAGCCTGAATTTACATTGGTTTATGATTTGACCTGTTCTTGACCTTCACTCTACACTTGACAAGTGAGGCCCCACAGGTTTGCAGAAATAACGTTAAAACCTCATGTATAACAGGACGTTAAGTGTTCCCATTACAATGAAGCATGTTCTTAAGGAATGCGGTCTAGTCTTTTGCTTGCTCGTCGCGTCATTTTTAGGGTTTATGAGGCGCCATCACATGTGTGTTGGTCATTAACCATCCCTAGTATCCTTCGCTGGCGATCGTCAAGTTAAGCCACACAAATAATAAATTGAGATGCACGAGGTCAGTGTGTTTCTTGTTTTATGCAATAGCGTATTTCCTAATTAGCATAATCCCCTCATTAACACGGTTACAACTGTCACCTGGCAGATTCAGGGTTGCAGTTTTTGTGCATTATCTTACGCGTTTTTATCTGAATTATGCATGGAAGAGATCGACTATTTTAATACGCTTTTCACTTTGCACGCCACAGCCTTTACCAAGTCCAGCTGTTGAGCTTCTTTGGGTGGTACCCTTCCATCCGTTTGGCTTACAGCGGAAATCTAAAATGAGATGGTGCTGCAATTTGGGCTACTGGTCTTGGTAAATTAATGCCTCAATTGGTTAAGTAGTACGTCCGGTTCAAATTGAATAAGAACACGCGTATAAGGGGCAAATTGACAATCATAAAAATGAAGGCCGAGTAGACCAGTGCCAGAAGCAATCGGATTATTATTATCAAATAAGCAAATACAGCAACCTCTCGACGTTTTACGCATTATTATTGTTGTTAATTTTAATGAAAATAAAAGTATGTTAGTTATGAAGATGCCGAATGTTTTATTTGAGAGCAAACTTAAAACACTGCATAAGGACACACAAGCCGTAATAGTGTAGTAATTTGGCGTAGCATACCATTCCATTCTCAGTTTTTTTTATTGTTGAGAAGGTAATCTTAGAATACGTTGTCATTTTAATATTTAGAAGAAGCGTTGCTAGCATTTTCTTGTGTGTGTCCCTTCAAGATTACATTCGAATATGCTAAATATGTCAAACAACCGAATTTAATATTTCATGGCAAGCAAAATAGCATTAATTAACTAAATTTTAGTGTAAAATTTAAACCGTACAATTGTTTCTTTACCTAAAGACATTTTTTACAACATTCGCAGTTAGACTTTGTTGGATTTTTCTGAATAGCAGCATTACTGAATAAGCACTTTCCTGGGAGATCTTTCTAAAATTTCAGATATTGCCCAAGCCCTATAACTAACCTGTGTCTGGCCATTGAATGAGACATCACCAGCCCTGTGGGCGTCATCGGCACCTAAAAAATTGTTTTCAGACGTAGGTGGTTAATACCTCTGGACGTTTATAATTACATTGAAATCTGCACTGCCAACGAAATCGACAAAGATTCACATATTTGTTCAAATCGAAGCTATAGATTTTCGATAATTGTGTTTAGTGAAAGAGACACCTTGCAAACATCCTCGTGTGTTATTTTAGTGCATGACCTTATTTTTTTTACTAAAGCAAATCTTGCACAATAGCACATCAAATGTAACCTCATGCCTTCAGCCCGACACAAGGGTTACAATCAGTTCTCTGTATTGCATCATCATCGTCTTCATCACAACGGTACATAAATGGGCATTAGTTTCGCTATATAGGTAAAAATTGTACTTACGGTCTAACACCCGTATAGTGCAACATGTTCAGTGCCCTTTATAGTAGTAATTTATTTTATTCTGTGCAACAATTAATTTAGGTTGGCCCCTCAGCAACAACCTGTCTTCATAATTTCATTTGTCAAGGTTCCCATAGTTAAAACGCTATCATGATGCTTCAATGATTGATAAATAGATAGATTTTGTTTCTTCTGATTAATTGCAAAAAAATTGAATCATTGAATCTTAAAATACTAAAGAAACAAGCAATCAAAGTAATTATTAAGATGTTTTTGTGAAATCCTAGCACGTGCTTTTTTTAAATATTGGCTACCAAAGTAGCAATTTGGGAAAAGGCTGGCTGGGGTTGGTTGGTTATTGTTAAAACTGCAATTTAAGCAAAGCGCATGAAAAAAAACCCTGAAAAATTTTAACTAGAGCAGATTTCGGGGGCGCGTAAGCATAAATATCTAATCATGTGACGTTTTGTTAACATAAAAAGCCTTATTTACCTGATAATTCAAAGCTTTTGGGCATGGATGATGCTTTGTGTTAAGTAATCTTAACAAATTACTGTTTAGTTGATAAAAAAAATAATCGTTGTGGGATTCTGCTGGCAAAACGAAGATCTTAAATGTGTTACAATGGAGTTCATTTCAAGACATGCTATTTATTGCTACTACTTCACAATTACAGCACAACTGTTTTATCATTATGTAGAACTGCAACCTTTAAGTCCCCTACATTGTACGACCCCCTTAATATAGGCACAGACCTTGTCTTGCTTCCTTTTACCCACAAATTAGGTATTCCTCTCATTGTTCCTTTCAAAATGCCTAGGAATAATAATTATTTGCTGATTTGGCTACATTTTTGATTGATGTCGCAATGCAACGTAGCTTTTAAACAAAGGGGCCAATTTCAATGCGCTTAACGGGAAATTGTGAGCAATTTCATTTGTCGGAATGTAGACCAAACGGTTACTGGTTTAATTTTGACAAAAAATCCATCAGGGAACACTATTCTCTCTGCTAAAAAGATATTTCTACGGAGTGTATGACTGTAGATTCTGGTGTTTTGTAGATATATTCCAAGTTAACCCAAGCCGCTTGTGGTCAACACGAAGGCAACGCGCTTCCCTTGTCGCCGACTAACACCGCCTCCGGAATTAGAGTGGACCCGCGGCTCTTTGGCGAGCGCTACTGCGAAGTGGCCGAAGGTGGCGAGAATGGAATCGGCGCCAGCGTGACCAACATCCACCCCAGAGACATCTTTAATCTACCTGGTGTCTACGCTGCTATTTGTCGCGGTGTTGTACATAACCTCGTTAGCATGGCTCCACCGGAGGTAAGACAATCACGTTATTACGCGGGATTATTTTTTAAAAGCAATTGATGTTGCACGGTTTTTCTCTATGTACACAAAAGTTGGGCAGTGAATGTCCAATGAAGTCATGTCTTAAACTGAGTGTTGGATATTTGCTACAGTGCACATTTACCACTGTTCTTTAGACCCTTCAAAAGCTTATGCTCTATCTCCTTATTAGCTAGTTATTCGACCAATCGAAATTCCTTTTAATGTTACAGAACCACTATCCACGCCTTTGTTATCGTGTATTTGGTTTTGCAGGTAATGCAATTAATAACAACGGGTCAGGACACTGTAATGTTACGAAATGGATTAGTTAGAATGCAATTTAACGGCCAAATGTGGTTAAACCTAGACTTCCCTGCCACTGTGAGACAAAATGCACCTTAACATAGACCATTGCGTTTTTTTAGGTCGCATATTTGACCTTCAATTTTTATTTATTCATGCATTTACGGAATGACTGAATAACTAAAGTAAACCCTGAGCTAAATTCCCCCTGCCGCAGTATTTTTACTTGCTTGGTGCAATCGCGCAACTGCCCTTTGATCCCCAGAGGACATTTAAATAACAACCTGATGCGGTAGATAACACAGTTTATTCCTCCACAAGCCTTGGTGTATTTTGTTTATGTGTTTGAGGGTGTATTTATGAGATTATTTTGTAAACAGTGAGGACTTGTGGCATGTGTGAACCAAGGAAGGGATTAGTGTGGGAACGAAAGCCACACAGTCTAGATCACCGGGGCGTTCTACATGTGCATGCAGGCACGTTTTCTACGCACACACGAGAAAACGTATTTTCGTGGTAATAATAGTAAAACCGCTTCTTTTGGGTGTTGCAATTTGTCGAGGCTGAGTGCCCTAAAAACAGGTTTGCTCCCTCAAAACTTTTAAATTTTATGTTTCACGTTCCCACCAATGTCTCTTAAGGGTTCCGCCACATAAATCGTCCCTTGCTTCGAGTCCACCCCGTTCTCGTCTGCCTTTTTGTTCTGTGTCACTACGGAAAACGGCTTCATGTTTTAATCAATGTCACATTAAATGCGAGAACCCTGTTTGACGTTCTAAACAGGAGGTCAATGCACAAAAACCGCCCGTTTTTACTTGGAGTTCAACACAAGTTAGTCTTCGGCCTTTGCGCTCCAAGTTTTTATGCGTCATTTGTTTACTTTAGTTGCTCGAATGGGCTAACGTGAAGCGGATATTTTGCGTTGGAGGTGCGCTGAAGAGGAATCCGCTGATGTTGCAGCAACTGAAGGATGAATACGCTCCAACGGGTATAGCATGCCTCTCCAACGAGGAAGCCATTGAGGCCTGCATTGGAGCCGCTCTTTTCACTGCCCTTAGTCATCCACCCACCCAGTTGAAACCACGATGAGCGTCTTTCGACCACTATACACGCATGCACCGCCAGTACTTCTTTGCCTTATCCTATTTTTTTTAACCCAGCCTTTCATGGTGGCTTCTACTTTTCCATCTTGACCACCGAGTGATCAACTATGTTTGAAATTGGATGAATCATACCAGCCAAACACGCTGATTTTGTATGTCACTCTTGTCTACTTGTATTGAAATTAAGTATTATAATCGCCACAGCCACAAAATGTTCATCTCTATTTCAACAAAAACATTGCTGTTTCGGAGATCGCCACCTCTACCTACGGTGTCAAATCGCGGTGATTTTAAAGTGATACATATGGTTTCGCATCGTCAAACCCTCAAACCACAAAGTCGAGTTTTTTCACGTGACCAATTTCAGCATTGAAAAAAATGCAAGCAAAATGATTATCGTAAACCTAAAATAACCTGTGCAGATATTTATTGCATCATTGCGTTTTGCACATTGATCGACTGCAAGGCCGACATGCTTCACCACCACAAATATCAAATCGTGCTATTTCAGTTCTATCTCCTCCCACGTCTTTATTTTGTATTAACCTTAGAAATGAGACTTAATTTGCGAAAATTTTTGATATAAGGACATACCTGGAGCCAGCCGTGTGATGTAACTTGTAACTACCTACGCTCTTGTGCTACCTCACACAACTGTTTGCGATTCTCACGCCTCCGTCGCTACTTTTGTCACGTGAAGTGAAAGCTAATTTTGTTAATAAATTGCCACGCGATTTAACAGAAACACTGTGTGTACGGACAAGAGTTGTGGAACTCTTTTACAGCTGTTTACGTTCGTGAGATCTTCTTAGAAACGCTCCGTGCATTCACCATGCACAAGTCCTTCCAAATAAGGCGTTTATTTAAGCATCGACTCGAGTCTTTCGGTATTACAAGAAGCGACAACATATTTTTTTGTCTCCAATGCTCGTATGACCTAATTTGTTTCCCTTTTGCGTTGGTCATAAATAGGGCAGTTTCGAAATTAACGTTTTTGCTGAACTTAATTGCGGAGCAAAGATTTGTGGGCAAAAAAACACCATAAAATATTTTGGCGCTTGTTTAATTCTTCAATTAACGGCGTATTGGTTTGGTCAGTATGTAGATGATCCAAATTAATTCCATTCTATTTCGATGTATGCGCTGTTGAAGCCAAAATCCCAAAATTTCATATTCACTAACTTACTATTCGCGACTTAAAATGCTGAAAACTGAGACTGCGTTTAAAACCAGCAAAAAACTATGAATATCCTACTCTAGTTGAATGCACTCGAAGTAGTGCGGTAAGGAAAAAAAATGTCTGAAGATACGTATTCAAATTTTTTCCCTTGCCCAAGACAGTTGTGTTTAGAAGAATAACCTATAAAAACTATGAGATTTTATCGAATCAAATCAACTGGCATACGGGTGAAAAGTCTCGGAAAGCGTACTTTTGTCATCTCTGGCGTTTCCCATGGTTTTGCATAAGAATTAGCATTTGTTGGATTTTACGAAGTGCACAACTTTAATTTAAATGATGCCAATGTGTTTTATTTCTGTGTACTTTATAGCTCTCGAAGTTTTTCCCTTAGAATTTGCGAAATAGGCTATTTTGAGGTGCCAAACGAAAAGCCTATTAGAAGGAAAAATTGGACAGTCAGTTAGAAGAGGCTGGTGGCATTCTGTAAGTCTCCAATTGTGCTCGCGTGCTGAAATATATTAACGAGCATGTTAGCGAGTTAATGTGAATGGAAGTCTCAACTTGTGATTTAAGTTAATACATCCAAAAAAACGAAAAATACAACCCCTATTTTACAGAAAGCGTGATGATTGACACCCAGAGGCCCAACAATGAAACTGTTGTGAGCAAAGTAGGCTCCGACACGCATGAAGAAACCCATATTTGTGCCAAAAAGTCACATGAGCAAAACTGTCCTGCGCTTACTATTGAAAGGACGATGATTTATCTTCGCCCTTTCGGAAAACCTTATTGCTTTTCCAGTATTTTTGCAAACGGCTTGATAGAAACCAAATTACTGTGCTCTTAAAGACAAATTCCATTAATGATGTATGTGACAGCCGCCGTTAAAACACTTTTAATTATTCAGTCCTGCTTTGAAAATTGCAAGCAACATCCGGTTCTATGTGAAAGCCTGCATGTTCGTCCTTAGGCATATTTGGGAATTCACGAGTAGGGCATGGCACACATTGAGCCACTCAAAGATTAGAGGCTTGACTTGTATGAATGAAATGGGATCTCATGTCCGGCAAGTCAGGCCAATCATAAGACGAAATCGGTTCGCCTGATGTTGCATTACAGTGAGGTATTTCTGCACCCCATAATTTTGAGATGTCTGAAAATCAAGTGTTTGGGTCGAGTGTACATTTAAAATACGCAGATCTTGTTTTATTAAAGTATTTTTTAAAATCTTGACATGAGAAATTACTACCTTGTAAAATGCTAATGGTTTTACAACTGACTATAAATTCATAACTAATTGAACCAGTGAACCATATTTATCCTGAACTTAGTTTTCTGCATATTAAAAACGGATAAACTTTGCTCCAGTCGATGATTCCTGATTGAACTGTCAGAAAACGTGTTTGATAGAGCAAATTTAGCTTTTCCAAAAACAGACCTTGAGTCCTGATATTTTAGTTAACATTTTAAAAGGAAATTGGATGTATCACTGATTCTTCAAGCAGAAAATCGGAAGTAAAGCACTACGATCGAAGTGAATTTGTATAGTATGGATTGGTTATTTATTCTCATTGATCCTGAATGAAGTCTTGTAGTAGCCGAGTTAGCAACCTTACAACCCTCCGGTCACAAGCCCTAAACTACCCGAGGAAAGGGGGAAAAGCGGCGACAGAGAAACGACTGTAACAGGAGCCAGTTAAAAAAGGGGTGAGTCATTGGTACAGTAGGGCCAGCATACATGCATCACTCACGCGAGGTGGCTATCTGTCGACTACAGAGTCTACACTGTGATTAATCTTTAATGGTTGAATTCCCTTGACGTCATTGCACATTTTTGGCCAGTAGACCCTCGTCGTGCGCAGAACTGAGGCTTTCTGTTTAGTCTCCCAGAGCGTAACACGTCTAACAGACTTCTGACGCATTTGCTGTTTTGGCATAACCGAGGGTGAAAAAAAAAACGAAATGGCATTTTTCAGACTGGCCTAGACGAAACGAAGTTGTCGTCGGCACATACGACCCCGAATCTCAGCTGCGACCAAAGCAACTTAGCGACACCTCGAACTACAAACAATAGCTAAGCGCCCTGGTAAAAAATGGCGGTGTTACTTTTTGCCCGTAACCAGAACACACACTCAGATAACCGGTACCCCAAATCACTGGTCTGATCCTACACCCCGCATTATCATGCTAATGCAAGACAATACAAGGTCTCGTGCGGAGTCCGCTTACTGTCTCAGCTAAAGGCCGAGTAACCTGTCGTAATGGGCTCACTTCTAAATGTCAAGGATGATCTTGACCTAAGGATTTAAGACGGATTAACATAGATGGGGCTGCCAGTAGGGTGTCTTGGCGAATACTGGATCCCCGTTAGACGGCGCCGGTAGTCGACACAAAATTCGACCTGTCGTGCAGCACTGGAGAGCTGAAGCCTATCTTCAAATTGAATGCAAACTTCATTCGCACTGTCACCGCTGCTTCGTACGCAGGGTTCACCGCCAAAGTCAACAGGTCGTTGAATACGACGTCGCGTGACCCCCAGAGCCAGATCCGACACGCCAGAGGCACGTGAAGGTCTCAGTGCACCCTACACGCCTGAAAGAGGCTGAAACTAATCAAGGTCAACAACTGAAATACGCATGAACATTACCCTTAAATACATGCACGGTTGTAAGAACAAGCACAATGTGTAGTGAGATACTACACGATTTCTACCAGGGTACAAAATGAAGGTAGCTGTTCCAGCAAACACAAGTGTTAGCTTGCCACGTTTTTGCTTCTTGTGCTTATGGATAATCAAAACACGGCTAGACCTGTTGGCTACCACCATGTCCATGTGAGATGTGTTCCAGAACTTCTGCGAATGCTCTCACCAGGCACGAACCAACGTGAATTCAATTGGTGATCGTAATTTCACTACACGGAACGACGTTCTTTTACAGATTGAAAAGTCAAACGTTCCTCTTTAAATTGACGTCTTGGTGTGATAACCGACTGTAGCGATAAATACATTGGGCCTGGTGTTGTCTGCGGACATCTTTCCTGGCCGTCGGCCACACCAGAGCTTCTACAGACCCAACACACTGACCTGTCAGCGCAAAAAGATCAGACACTTATTGACAATTTATTGAACAGCCTATTGCAAAGTGCTCTTGAACTCTTTTCTGTCAAACGACGCCACTCGTTTCGAAGACACTCCGAATTTGCATTAAGGCAAAATAGACTTAACGTAAACGCACTAAACACAGAAATCCGGTGCTAAAATTGTCCCCCTGGTGTGTAAGTCACAACAACCACACAGAGTACACACACCTTTTGAGGAAATTTCGAAACTCCAAACCTAAAGAAATTCCCTGCAGCCCCGTCACTCGTAGTTTGCAGTTAAGCCACCTCAGAATCAACTGTTCAGCCCTGATAAGGAAAGTCAGAAGATTGCAATAAAAGAATTAATTTCGGTTGATGAAAGAAGCATTCACGCTGCGGCATATAAAAAAGAATGCGACTGCGTGATCACGAAAACAGGTCAATTAGCGTGACTTCAAGTATTGGAAGAGAACAGGAGGCGTTCGTGAGTGTCGATGAGACGTAGTAGCTCCTCGTCGACTTCTGGCTGCAGCGGATGTCACCTTGTCGCCACTTAGTCGACGGACCTAGCAACGAGAAGGCACACCTTTGAACAAAATTAATCTCGAAAAGGCACTACCTCAGTCCAGCCTACAGGGGTTAATCGCCATATGGTTAAGTAGGATTCAATATTCACGTTTCGCATCGAACAGGCAACTCGGAACAAACCTTCCCTTCAGTCGACT